CCGAACCCGTATGAGAGATATGGACCAACAGGTCAGGCAAGCCGGCGGTAATCAAGCCTCCACCTCTGGGTCAGCCCCGATACCATCGACGCAGGGATCTATCGTCCCGTACCAAGCACCTTCCAACGATGTGAGAAATAATCAAGCCTCGAGTAGTGGCGGTGGTTACAGTGGATGGAGTAGGCTATGGGGGCTATGGGAACTACCGGCGGCCGTGGTATTCACAGTCGAATGATAAGAACGAGAAAGTGGACAAGATATGGAGTTGGATGGCTGAGGAGATTGAAGAGAGGTAGCAATTGAAAAAGGGGAAAGAGGAGGCCAAGAAGAAGGAGGAGGATGAGAAGATAAAGAAAGAGGCGGAAGAGAAGCGACTGGCGGAGGCCAAGGACAAGGACGAGTTCAAGGCAAGTATAGGAAGGATGGTACAGGAGCAGATGCGTACCGTGTGTGAGGAAGTTTTAAGAAGGAAGGTGGGACAAGATGAGCGACCTGTCGTTGCCGTGATTGCCGAAATCCGAAGACGTGCGGACGCTGACAGTCAAAAGGTTGTGGAAGATGAGGTTCTACGAAAGAAGGATCTGGACATTGGCTGACTGAAGCAGATGATGGCGGACACGCAAAGACAAGTATGTCAACCACAGTCCGGTCAACATGAGGAAGAGCTGAATTCCCTGCGTATGGACAACCAGCATTTGATACAAGACGTTATCAGTCTGAAGGAGCAGGTGGGAGAACTTCTCAAATTGACGAAGCCGTTTGCGGGGGTGGCCAATGCTACACCGACAGTAGTCAAGGAGAAGGGGAAAGCGATTCACACTCTGACCGTTGGAGACTATGTCAAGTTGTCTGAGGCATACAGGAGGATGCGAGACGAGAAGGATTTAGTCGAGAGAGAAGTTCAGGCACTAAAAGAAAGGATTAATAGGATTGGGGCTGCTAAGAGTACCTCGACGAGCATCAAAAGGAAGAGAGTGATGCGTAAGAGTATTTCGTCGCCCTCCCATCTGCGCGGATCAGACTGAGCAAAGCGGGTAGTGGAGAGAAGGGATTTACCGACGTGAAATTTATCAATCTGAAAGACCAAATGCGAGAGGATTTCAATAAACGAGTATGCGTCAAGCTGTCCAAATTAAAGAAGAAGGAGATCAAAACGTTGTGTAAAGAAGAACATTTGGAGTATGTCACCATCAAGACTTCCGCTGCTGATATTGTTGACGCTTACACCGATCGTGCATTTGGGAAGTTGGTCGATAATACCGAGACACATGAAGATTCGAAGATGTCGGAAGATGTGGCCGGTAGCAGTGGACGTGACGACGATGAAGAGGAGACTACGTCCGGCTGCTAGGAACTGCCACCGAGCGTCGGTGAACTCAAGGATCTGGCTCTAGCATGTAGAGACTTACGAGGAAATCGAAGATTGCAGCGAGATAGCAAAATCGATGGTGTATTTCGGCTTACGGTCATCTTTCTCATTCTGCTTCGACAAATTTCATGGTGTGTGAAGCTCATTCCGTACTTGCGTTATTTATTCTCAGTCGGGTATGACTTTATTTCATGTCCTGATCCCCTGATCTACGTTTGAGTTTCCCCATGGTGCAAGCATATTTATGTTGGTTGTTCTTCTAGATCTTTGAAGTATCGTTGGAACGAACATCTCTGTCGTGTCTATTCTACACTAAGCGATAATGTGAGGAATCACCGCTTGTACAAATGGTTACGATGAGAACGGACTAGTGGTTATGTTGCGGTTCCTATTGCTAGTACCTGCTTAGATCAGCTGCTTAACATCGAATCATACTTCATTTGTACCTTTAATCCGTTTCTCAACTCTATTCCGACTCAGGGACGAAGACGTGAGAGGAGGAAAAATAGGTTAGGCAAACACGAGAGGGGACGATGGAGGTTAAAAAAAGAGGCAAAAGTGATTCACGGTAGAGATGTAGCGAAATCTTTCGTTCTTTTCTGCTCTAAGACAGGGGATTCATCCACTAGTCTTCGACTTATTCTTGATAAATGCTTTGAACGCAATATCGAAAAAGTGACGATGAAGTGTTCTGGTGGGGATATTTTGACATAGAAATGGAGAGTTTTCAAACGTTGTTATGGGTCCTCCGTAGTACGGATTGGGGATAGGGTCGAGCTACTTCGACGTTGTAGGCACTCATTGGTGTCAGGGATTGTTTTGGTCTTTAAGTCTATTTCAAAATTTTGCTCACGATTCGAAAGACAGCAAAAGCAGTTTGACTGAACTTCTGAGTAGTCCTTCTACATGCAGGAAGTTATACCGAGAGCCGCTTGATAGGCTTGTACAACTCTATAGTTGCGTTCGATGTTTTTCGAGAAAGAGAGTCGAGCAAAACTCAGAGCGATTTTAGCTCGAGTAATTAAGAGCAAGTTTTCCATTACTATTAGGGTTAGAGCTGCTGTTAGGATTTCATTTGATGCCACCTTGTTTAAGAAACGAATTCGTGATTTATGTCTTTCGACTGTTCGTTCGTCGTCAATCCGCACCCTGGTGTAGCAGATTGTTTGCAGGAAGTTAAGGGTTGTCTGGTGCAAGAACAAAACCGTTGGCGACTGGCTTTATAATTTCATAAGTTTCTCACGACAGGAAGGCTTTGTATGTGGTTGTCAACATCTTGATTTACCTAGAACTGAATGTCATGTGTCGTTTAGATTCAGTGATGCTGAGTGGGTCTCAGGTTTTGCAACAAACAGTAAAAATATTATGTTTCCTGGTTTTCGAAACAATCGTGCCGCTCTCAGGAAATGCATTTTGGATGGATTGAAGGATGTGCAAAAAGACACAAAGCGTTTTTCCATTGCTGATGAGGAGTTATGCAAGTGCTTTAATCATCGTCAAGGACAATGTTTCCAAACGGGGGATGAGTTGCAGCACGTTCAAGAAATTAAAAAGAAGCTGGAAGGTATTGTTATATGCCTGATTGACCATAACTTGGGAGATTGCTTTGTATGTTGCCCTACTATCTTCAAGCACGGGATGGAAGCATTGTTCATCAAGAATAAGGATTTGCATTGATCGAATCAAGCGAGTCACAGGTAATCGAAGGTATGCATAAGAGTTTATTAACATCCGGACTCCAGCGCTATTGTTCGTTTAATCGGCAGGGAAAGTTGGGTAGAACATATGGATTGCCCAAGCATAAGAATGTAATGAAGTGGCGTCCAATCTGCCCTTCCTTCTCTGACCCTTTAGTAAGACTGTGTAGAATAGTTTCAAAATCCATCAATTATGTGATGTGGACACTACCTGAGGAGTCACATTTCAATTTAAAAAGTCATTGTGATATGATTGGAAGGCTTGACGGGTTCAATAGGTCTATTAGATATGATGAAGAAGTAATTGCCTCGAGTTTTGACGTCAAAGAAATGTTCACTGCCCTGCCTCATGCATCCATCATCAGAGCAGTAGAATGGTTAGTTAGCGTTTTTGAGAAAAATGGATATTCCGATATATTTATTAAAAAGAAAGGCAAAGGAGCACTGTTAGGCAGACGAAAAGAGACCCCGACAGGTTTTCGTCGTATCAGATTTTCGGTACTTCTAAATATCGTGGTATTCGATCTCAAGAATACTTACCTGATGACCATGAAGGTCTTGTTGCAGCAAAATGTAGGGATACCTATGGGTAAACCATCAAGTCCGGGTCTAGCCTGTCTCCTATGTGCATATAATGAGCACGAGTTCATGGTACACCTTAGTCGAGAACGCAAATTGCTTTTCGGGATAAGATTAGTAGACGATGTGTCTGTTTTTCCTAAATATCTGAAGGGGTCACTATATGGTAAGATAATGGCTATTAGGAGATTAGATAAGTTTAAAAAATGCTATGATAAGAATCTGGTACTTGAAATTACTAGTCGGCAGAACACATGGGATTTTCTTTGCTACATTATTAAGGTTTTTTCTGATCCTTGCAGAGTTCTTTGTGCTGCTACTCACAAGAATGTGCGCTATGTCATAAACCAAAGTGTCATCTTCCAGAATTTACAGGATTTCTCGTCGTATTCCGACAAACAACAAAAGATGGTTGTTATTACTGCCTGCATAGAGCAAAGGCTCTTACCACTATGCCTGGCGCAGATGCATGTTTCCTTTTCACCCTGAAGATGGAACTACAGATCAGAGGATTTCCGGATTGCTACTTTGACCAGTGTTTGAAGAATTTTTCTGCAAGTATGAATAACTGTTGCCAGGCTTGGGTCATATATTTTACAAATTGGAAGTAGTTTTTGGTTTAGATGAGGGCATTAATAGCTAGTTAAAATGCAACGAGCACTTGTACTGGCAAGTCGTCGAACCGGTAACTTTTTTCTTGACAAACTAGGGGCTGTCATTTTTTTAATCAAATTGGACTCTAACTCTGAATCATGTAGCAGATTCAGACCTTTTTTTATGGCATCCGATTTTCGGTATCAACTAGCGCAGATTAGTCTAGGTTCGGCTTAGGCCTTTTAGATGGTACTTACCGATGTTTTCTACTTGTTATAGGTTTTAGGTCTTTCTGGTACTTGTTCTTCCCTGTTGATTTCGTATAAGTAGCTTAGTTGCACTAGTATTTTTCATCCTGCTCGAGGTAATTAGACCCCTGATGAAGTCGAACAGGCGACAGGCAGAAACACGGTGTTGGGTCATTCGCCCGACATCGCTGTGCTCAATGTTTTATTTTTCAAATTTACCTGCGCTCCGTTTTTTCTTCGTCTTCGTCTTGAGCAGTATGCCCCGTGCATGCTGCTTCTCTGTGTGTTTAAACACGTGTGTTTGGATGCATGACTGATGTTCACGACTTTCTATCGCATCCAGCGGCTAATGTGACCACGCTCCAGGCCCCAGGGAAGGTTCGTGCCCAGGAAAAAAAAAAAAAAAAAAAAAAAAAACGAAAAAAACTAGGCTACCAGCCAGGCCGCCAGGGTCCCAGGTGGCCAGTCCGTGCTCACGGAGTAAACCATCGTAGGGATTATACTACGATAGTGGGACTCCGCTTTTGAGATTCGATTGAGGAGTATCATGGCGGGTAATGGTCAGGCCCCGGCTAATGGGTACAACAATTGCTTTAATCGTGGAGAACCTGGACACTTCTCCAGATGGTGTCTGAAGCGCGGGCAGCGCCCTGTTGGTAACGCGATCGTTCCAGTCCAAGCTCCAGCCCAAGCTCCTTTACTGACGTTACCATCTACTTCTGGTGAGACTCCGGTTGTGACGACTAACCAACATTTTAATAGAGGTGGCGGATGGGTGCGAACCAATCAACGTGTTGAAGTCCTTGAAGGAACGGTGGCGATGCTGAAGAATCAGCATGACGCGGAAGAAGAAAAAGAACGAGCGAAGAAAGAGGAGGAAGAGAAGCTAAAACGAGAACGCAGTGAGGAAGAACGAAGACAACGTGATAAGAAGGAGAGGGAGGATTTCCAGACGAATCTGGTTGAACTGATGAATTCGAAATTGAATTTGGTGGTTGAGAAATTAGGAGGAAACAAAGGTGTACAGAAAGAGAAAAGTGAATTGGAGATTATGAAGACGCAGTTGGCGGAATTACAGAGGACGAAGACGCAGTTGGCGGAATTACAGAGGACGAAGACGCAGTTGGCGGAATTACAGAGGACGAAGACGACAGCGGGATCTAGCCGGGACGACCCTGGTCTGGTGGAGAGGTTGCTACAAGAGCAGGATGAATTACGGAAGAGGCTATTAAACAACAATGAGAAGTCCGAAAGGCGTTTGGTTGCTTTGGAAGAAAGGCTATTGCAAAAGGAGAAGGAGAAGGAGGACATGGCAAAGGAATTGGAAAGTTGGAAGCAGGAGGCTCTGCGGCTGGGAAATAAACGGGGACATGTTGTCGTAAGTACGCCGACCAGCGATGCACGGGTTCGACCTAGGGTGACGTCGCGCTCTCCAGCGGTTATCAGATCAGAACAGTATCGAGAGATGTGCCAACGTAATGCTGCGGAAGTGGAGCTTCTTAAGGAAATGCGTTTGAAAGAATTGAACAGGAGGAGGGAAGCTGAACAGGAACTCGAGAAGTATAAGGAAATGGTTGCAAGAGCTGAAGCAGAGAAGATAAAGACACCTGTCCCTCCCCTTGCCACTGATTTGCGGGCGAAGCTTGATGCGGTGGCCGAGAAGAGCATGATGAAGAGCAACGGAAGAAAGGTTACCGAAGAGACAGAGCAGGTGAACGACAAAGACATGTTTGTGAAGGAAAATCGAAAGGAGTTGCGGAAGAAAAACAAGGATGAAATTACGAGCATCTGTCGCAAGGAAGGTGTCACATATACCACTTTGGAAGCGACTAAGGAGTTGATCGTGCAACGAAGGGCTGAAAGAGCCTTTGAGGGAGAAACGAGTGGGAAAGGAAAGGAGGTTATGGTGGAGGTTTACGAGGACCATGAGACGGGAAAACAAATCGGCTCCAAGGTTGACGGGTGTGACTCCGCTTCGTCTTAGGGTCACAACCGAGTGCGGCTTATCTATGGCAACTGGCGAATTGTTGTCGTTCTCTGCGTTCGTACTCTGCTGATCTCCTGCGGTGTAAGTCTCTAAACTCCTTTATGATTATTGTGGTGTTGTTGGTCGTGGTGGGTCAGGTTCCTTGGTTGACGAAACTACTTGGTTTCCTTGTAAGATCTTTTGCTGATTATCGATTTAATGACACTTGCGATGGGCCGGTTGTGTATGCATTGATTTCGCCCTGGTGTAGGCATGTGTACGTAGGGAGTACGTTCAGGAATATACACTGTCGTTGGGTAGAGCACTTGTATCGTACATGTGATGCTAATCTGGCAGATGATCTGTTGGAAGTTGAGAAGTTCTTTATTCGGATATTTTGTCCTGCTCTTAACACACGTGATAAGCCGAAACGGAGTAGGGGTTGGCGTCCGGGGAAGAAGGAAAGACGTAAGCAACGACGGGCTGGTATAGCAGATGCTTCTTCCGTAATTACTTGTAGGGAAGGGTCGCTGATTGAGTTCCACTCCTGAATGGGAATTACGTCTACTAGTCTGTTGCGCATCCTTGATCATTGTAGGGATGAGAATATCTCTGAGTGTACAGTGGTGTGTCGAGGTGGTAACATGTTGATTGACAAAAGGAAAGTTTTGAGACGCTGTTATGGTGGATCGACAATTTCTTGTCAGTTTGGTCGCGGTCTCTTGCGTGCTGCGAGAACTTGGATTACTAGTGGGTTAGTGCTGCGTTTTGAGCAGATTGTTCCCTTCTTGAAGAATTCTTTGGAACTGAAGAAACCGCTGGCGTCCCTTCTCAGCAATCCTTCCTCTCGACATGAGTTGTATAAATGGAGCTTTGAGTGCTTGGTTCTTGCATTTTCTGTTGTTCGATGTTTTCGAGAAAAAAGGACTCGAGGGAGGATCCGCTATATCCTAACAAGGACGATTACTACGGTATATGATGTTAACTTGAGGAGGCGGATGGTGGTGAAGGTTGTGTATGATGAGTCGTTGTGTAAGGCCAAGATTAGAGCCATTTGCATTGGTATTATTTCCCGACTCGCTATTGAAGATGCGTGGAAGGACATGCTCGCTAGAAGGTTGAGAGTTGTTTGGAGACGGAATAAAACAGTTGGTGATTTGATGTACAACTTCCGGGGTGTTGCCAAGTTAGCTAAGCGTGATTGTTCATGTGCCTTGACGGAGGCTGAGTTCCCGAGAGTTGACGGACATGTGTCATTTCGCGTTAGTGAGACATCATTCTTTCTTGAAGTCTTGAATAACTCTAAAAACATTGTGCGGCAGTCTCGTTCTTATTCGGTGTCTTTTCTTCGACGGCAGATAGCTGAGGCCCTTGGTGTCGATCAAGCGCTTCCTCCTATCGATGAGAAGTGGCTTTCTTTGCATGTTCGCTCGTGTTTTTCCCTGTCTTGCTCTGCTTTTTCTTCTTCTTCTTCTTCTTCTTCTTCTTCTCTCTTTTTTTTTTCTTCTTCTTCTTCTTCTTCTGCTCATCCAGATAGCTGTGTTGATGAATTGGGGGCGACATGGAAGCGCCTTGAAGGATTGGTACGCTGTCCTGTTGATCATAATATGGGTGATTACTATATTTGTTGTCCTACTGTGTACCGCGCTGGTCTCTCAAAACTTTTTCTTGATAATCCATCTTTTTCAAAAGTTTCAGATTCAGAGTTAACTGTTCTCAAGCGGTGTCGAGAAGAATTCGAATTGAAGGATCTAAGGAAGGTTGGGAAGTGGCAAGTGAAGGGTTCCGAAACACCAGGATATCTCACGGTGGTGGCCTATATGTCCCTCGTTTCCTGAGTGTGCTGTTATAGGTAGCAAACGTGTTTCATATGCGGTGAACCATCTGTTGTGGAGTCTACCGGAGAAATCGAATCTGAATTTGAAGAGTACGGTTGAGTTGGTCAAGAACATTCAGAAGGTAAATAAGTCGCTGCGAGAAGGTGACTGTCTGGTTGGCGCATCTTTTGAACCATCCACACTCATCAATCTTGAAGGCTGTTGAGTGGGTTTCGGACTACTGGATGCTTGAAGGAGTTCGATGGGTGGCTGTGTCTACCAGAGGCAAGAAAGTTCGCCTTGTGAAAGGTAAGAAGGAGGAGGGTTGGATTCATATTTCTTTCAAACTCCTCCTGGATTTCGTGCGCTTCGAGCTGCAGAACAAGTTTGTGGTTGTTGCGGATCAGATGTTGCGGCAGGTGGTAGGCATTCCCATGGGCAAGTGTACTAGTCCTGCTTTAGCTTGTCTTCTCTGCGCGTTCAACGAGTTTTTGTTCTTGTCCTCTTTGGGTGTCGATGCGAAACGTTTTCATGGCTTTCGTTTGGTGGATGATGTGTCTGTTTTCATGATCTGCAGAAAGGGAGATGTGGCGTCTATCTTGTATGGATTGTCGCTGATTGACAAGTTCAGATCCTGCTATGACAGCAATTCGGTCTTGGAACAAACCAATGACGGTGGCAGTTGGGATTTTCTTGGCTGTGCTTTGAAAATTTTTTATGGGCGTGACAGAGTTGGATGTGTGGCGCTGCACAAGAATCAGAGGTGTGTGGTGGATCGTAGGCTTGTGTTCCAGAGTCTGCAGGACTTTTGTTCGTATTCGGGGCGGCAACAGAAGATGGCAGTTATAGGTTCCTTTTTGCATCGAGCACGTACCTTTACCACTGAACCAGGTAGTGAGTTTGCCTTTCTTTTGACACTGAAGATTGAGTTGTGGTATAGAAGTTATCCGGATGACTATTTTGACTCGAGCCTGGCTAATTTCTCCAGAAAAATGGCCGGCTGTTGGGATCATTGGCTACCTGTGTTGACTGGCTGGGAAAAGAAACTGGCTTTCAGACGTGCAGACCCCGGCAGGGGCGTTTCGTAGGCTATGCTGGCCCCATGTGGTGGGATCTTCTTTGGTACTTCGGCCCGAGGGTAGGGCCGTGTTTTCAGGTGATTTGCTGCGGATCGCTGTCAGGACCGCTTGCAGGCAAGGCCTGTTGTTGTGCGGTTGTTTTGTGCTGTTACTGTGGACCGATCGGTGGCCTTGATATAGGATAGTTTTTTTGCAGCTGCTGAATTGTTAATCGGGTCTCGAAGTGATGCCCTGCATGGGTGCTGTTTTTCAGTAGCTGAAGGTGCTTAGACTTGTAGTACTTGTAGTTGTCTGGATTCGAACTTTTGTTTTTGGGCGCGGCTGATCTATCTCGATATTTCGTGTTGCCTTGTGGAAGATTCTAGCGGCGGAAGTATCCCTTTCTACCGGTGTATTGTTCTGATAGTATCTAGTCTACTAATACGGTAAGTAGCGACAGAAGACCCCTGATGAGACTGGCACGGCGGCCAGTTGAAACCGGTAGGGTCCTTGCGCCGTTTAGACCAGCAGCGGCATTATCGATGTTTTTAAACTCTGGTCAAGTCGCGTTCGGGTTTTTTTACTTACCGTGTGTCGTCTTGCCATCTATCTCCCTTCTTCCCCATTTCTCCTGCTTCTTCTTTCTTCTTCCTTTCCTTCTCGGTTTCTTCACCTCTTCAAATGTGTCTGATGCTGTTTCACTCTGCCTATTATTTGATCTATTTGAATCTCGTTGTTGAGTAACACATACATACAGCCCGTGCAAGGACCAAGGAAAGTCCCAGCAAAAAAAGAAAAAAGAAAAAAGAAAAAAGAAAAAAGAAAAAAAAAACAATGTTATGAAGAAAAATAAAGTGAACAACTTTTGCCTCAGTCGAAAACGAATGCATGTACACATTCCAAGAGCGCAGGGCTCAGGTGAGTGTATTCAGAAGCGAACGGCAAATCATCCACGACCGGAGAAGGAGGAGAGAAAGAGATGAAGATAGAAAACATAGTCCAACTCGCAGAAGCACAATGACCTCGCTCAATGAGGATGAAATCAAGAATACAACAGGAGCAAGGTCGGCGAAAGCCCGACATGTTTCGGCCACGTCGCCATCATGGCCATCATCAGGAGCTAAATGCGCTTGCGAGTAGTAGTTCCTCCGATTCTTAAATACTATTCTAATGAGGTCACCTCGAAACCAACCGTCTTTCAGAAATTGATCTAAGTGCTCCATTGTGCCCGTAGCAGGCGCTGGAAAGCGGAGATGCATTTCGTACCCACCGGGAGAGGTGAGCGGGAGACGAGAGCAGGAAACTGAGCGGAACTTCTTCAGTAAGCAGTACGTCAGAGGGGGAAAAGGAGATGAGAAAAAAGGCGGGAAAGCAGGAACAGATATGGAGCGGGAAGAGGGAAAGACAGAATCAGGAGGTAGACACGCCGAAGATTGACAGTAAGTGAGATACGTGCGTGAGAAAACGAGTGCGATAGATTGGACCAGTGGTGAGAGGTGACAGGGTTACGCGAGGAAGAGAGGAGGTAGTCGACATGAGGGAGGTAAGAGGCTAGAACAAAAGGACAGGCAGACGGGGGATTGCAGTAGAGATCGTTCTGTATCTGCCAAGGATTTGAGAGCAGGAAATCGACCTGACGACCCTTCAGGACAAAATACCGACGAGCCGGGTCCGTGATGTTGTCGCCATCTTTACTCTAAAACCTACAGCCTGGTCGTTTCAACCCTTCACTAAAATAACGTACCCATCCATCCCAGCAGCCCTCACTTACTGTGGAAAAGTCCGTCAAGGCATTACAAAACATCCAACCAGGAAAACGTTTCACCCTCAATTCACGCCTCAAAGACAGCATGCAGTGGCCCACTCCCCTGGAATCGGAGGAGTGGGCCATAATCCGACTAAGGTGGCACTTGATAACGCCAATTTCCTGAACCTGGGGGCCATAAGAACAGTAATCCTGAGTGGACTGGAACGTGATCCTGCCGTTGTTCCAGATGTCCCTTTGGTTCTTCGTCAAAGCTTCGCAGTGGACTGCCGATCGGTGGTCCTGGGTAACCACTTGGCAGCCCAAAAAATCAAACACACCATCCTTCTCATCCGTTCGAACCAAGGTGATCAGGCACGGTCTAATACAACCGGAGAGGAGTTAGGAAGGATGATAAGAAACAGAGCAACATCATCGACCAGCCTAAGTCCAGTGACCAAGCGGCGGTCTTTACCTAAAGAATTAAGAAAACAGACCTCGTGGTAAGCAGACAGGCAAAGGGAGGAGGGACTGGAGCTCTTCCCCATAGGTAAACCCACAATCTGTCGAACGATAAAAGAGGAGACTTTGGAGAAAGAGTGCTGCAGATCGAATTTGATGAAGTCGATGAGGAAGGAAAAATTCATCCTGACCCACGCAGCCTTTCTCACCAAAACCTTTTGCCTCAGGGTCACATCGAAATTCTTCACCAAATTTAGATTTTTTTTTTTTTTTTTTTTTTTTTTTGGCCCGCCCAGGCAAGTGACCCCGGGCCACTCTGATAGCCTAGGAAAAAAATCTATGCTATGCAGAAAAATAAACTGCACAGCAGCTTTTGCCCCACGGTCACATCCACCACATTTTCTGCTTGGATATGATTGGGGCAAAAAGATTGGGGTCAAACACAAAACTTGCGTGCTGGGATCAGGGGGTTCCGCCGTCATTGGGAATGCAACCCCTCCCTGGTATCTATTGACGCCTGTACCGGAGATTTTCAATTCCGCGCTTTCCTTATTACAGTAGATCGACTCAAAAAAAAAAAAAAAAAAAAAAAAAAAAAAAAAAAAAA